CCCCATCAGGCTAACATCAGATCTCTTGGTGGAAACGATTCAGGCAAAAAAAGAATGGGGAAACATAGTCAAAGTGTTGAGTGAAAAACAATTTCAACCAAGAATACTATACCCGGCAAGATTATCTTTCATATGGGAAAAAAAGATAAAAACATTCTCAGATAAACAAAATTTGAAGGAATTTACCAACTCCAGACCAGCTCTTTAAGAGGTTCTCAAGGGAGTACTATACCAGGAAAACTAAAAAGTCAGACAGACAGATATACGAGAACAAAAAGCAACCAATAAAATGGCCCACTTAACGATAGGATCAGGTACAGAAATATTGATTAATTACATTGAATGTCAATGGATTAAATTCTCCAATTAAGAGACATAGATTGGCTGAATGGATAAAAAAGCAGAAACCCTCTATCTGTTGCCTACAAGCAACTCACCTTATGGACAAAGACATAGTAAAGGGCTGGAAAAAGATATTCCATGTTCATGGAAATCAAAAAAGGGCTGGAGTAGTGATAGTGATCTCAGACAAAATAGATTTCAAGACAAAGACTGTGAGAAGAGACAAAGAGCATTATATAATAGTAAATGTGGTAATCCTGCAAGAAGACATAACCCTTAAAAATATCTATGCATCCAACTCAGGTGCACCTAAATATGTGAAGGAAAGACTGCTGGAGCTGAAAGGAGAGATAGGGAGAAATAACTATAATTGTTGGAGATCTCAACACCCCATTATCTACTTTAGACAGATCTTCTAGACAGAAAATAAATAGAGAGATACAGGACCTAAATGATATTATAAATCGAATGGGCTTGACAGATATTTGTAGAACTTTCCACCCTACATCCACAACATAAACATTTTTCTCACCCTGGCATGGAACCTTTTCAAAGATTGATCATATATTAGGACACAAATCAAGCCTTTATAGATTCAAAGGCATAGAAACTGTATTCAGTATCTTCTCTGACCATGATGGAATTAAACTCAAGATTAATTTCAAGAAATAACCCTGAAAATACAAGAACACATGGAAACTGAACAACCTGCTTCTGAATGATTTCTTCACTACTGAAGAAATTAAGGCTGAAATAAAAAATTTTATGGAAACAAGTGATAATGAGTACACAAGTGTCCATAATCTATGGGACACAGCAAAAGCAGTCATAAGAGGGAAATTCATAGCAATTAGTGCACATAAGAAAAGGATGGAAAGATGGCAAATAGATAACCTATCATCACACCTCAGGGAATTAGAAAAACAACAACAAACAAACCCCAAAAATGCCAGGTGAAAAGAAATAATAAAGGTTTGAGCAGAAATAAATGAAATAGAAAATAAACGAACCATACAGAAAATAAATGAAACCAAAAGCTGTTCTTTGAAAAGATTAACAAGATCGACACACCATTGGCTAGACTGATCAAGAAGAAGAAAGAAAGAAACTAGATTAATCAAATATGTGATGAAATAGGCAATATGACAACAGACATAGTAGAAATACAAAATATCATTAGAGGATACTACGAGCGACTATAAGCCAACAAACAAGATAACTTGGAGGAGATGGACAAATTCCTGGATGCATATAATCTACCAAGATTGGTTCAGGAGGACATCAACCTGAATAGACCCATAACAAGCCAGGAGATTGAATCAGTAATAAATAACCTCCTGACAAAGAAAAGCCCAGGTCCAGACGGCTTCACTTCTGAATTCTACAAAACTTTTAAGGCAGAGTTAACCCCTATCCTACTAAAATTCTTTCTTTTTTTTTTTTTGAGAGGTTTTTGCTATAGGGCGCGTGTGCTCACTAGACAGACAGAGAGAGATGGAGAGACAGAAAGCGAGAAATCACCCCCCCAGGGGGTATGGTCATGCTGCAATCCCTTCTCCTCCATTCTCCTCTTGGGATCTTGGGCACGCAAGCACACGTGCCCGGCGTGAGTTTAAGCCACCGGGTCCGGGACTCAAACCGCGGTCAACTACGCGGGAGTCCAGTGACATAGCCATTACGCTAACTGCTGGTCCCCTACTAAAACTATTTCTAAAGATTCAAAAGGAAGGAAACTTTCCAAATTCATTTTATGAAGGCTCCATCATCCTCATCCGCAAAACAGATAAGAACATGACAAAAAAGGAAAACTAGAGTCCAATATCAATGATGAATACAGATGCAAAAATTCTCAACAAGATACTCACAGATCATATCCAACAACATATAACAAAGATTATTCATCACGACCAGGTAGGCTTTATCCCAGGGATGCAAGGGTGGTTCAACGCAAGACCATAAATGTAATACACCACATTAACAGAAAGGAAGATAAAAACCATATGATAATCTCAATTGATGCAGAGAAAGCATTTGATAAAATATAACATGCTTTTATGATTAAGACCCTCAGTAAGATTGGTATAGAAGGGTCATTTCTCAACACAATAAAAGTCTTCTATGAAAAACCTACAGCTAACATACTGAATGGGGAAAAGGTAAAAGCTTTTCCACTAAAAACTGATATTAGGCAAGGCTGCCCACTTTCTCCACTGCTCTTTAATATAGTACTGGAAGTCTTAGCTATTGCAATCAGAGAAGAGAACAATATTAAAGGCATTCAGATAGGCAAAGAAGAGTTGAAAATACCTTTATTTGTAGATGACATGATGGTATACTTAGAAGACCCAAAGGTCTCCATGAAAAAACTTCTTGAAGTAGTAAGTGAATACAGTAAGGTGGAAGGATACAAAATCAATATCCAAAAATCTATAGCATTTCTATATATAAACAACGAGTTGAATGAAGCAGAGCTGAAGAAAGGAATCCCTTTCACCATAGCCACAAGATGTATAAGATACTTAGGGATAAACCTAACTAGGAAAGTTAAAAGACTTTTATAAAGAAAACTATGAAAATCTTTAAAAAGATATTGAAAGTGACATAAAAAAGTGGAAGGATATCCCATGTTCCTGGATTTGAAGAATTAACATAATCAAAATGGCAATTCTACCCAAATTAATCTACATGTTTAATGCAATTCCGATCAAAATACCAGAAATATTCTTGTCTAGAAAAGACAATCATAGAATTTGTCTGAAATCATAAAAGA